AAAATGAGACTTTGTGTGTATACATGTATAGATACGTATATACATTTAATGGAATCTTTAACGATAAATTATACTCCGTATTGATAATCGCAAACTAGAAATTATAAGTAAGGCATGATTTTATCATTATATATGGAAAATTTGCTATCTTAGAAAAACTGTATTTAAATTTCTTCATAACATGGCAAAGAGTAAAATATTTTAAAATAAAAAATGCATTTTATAGGGAATTAATAATACACTCATTTTTTTATCAGAATTTCACAAGATAATATATTAACCTTTGTTTTAAAAAGTCAAAAAAGTCTCGAATATCGTAAAAAAGCCTCTCTCTTTGTGCGTATTGAAATTATTTAAGAAACCCAACATTGCATGCTAATAAACTTGTGGCATCCAAAAATGTATAACAAGTACCTTATCCGATTGAAAGTAATAAAAAGACATTTTTTAAATAAACTAGTGTAACGTAAAAGCTCTCGGAATCTGTTATTCGCCGGGCGGGGGTTATCGTGAACGCCTTAGCGCACATTGTGAAATTCGTACGACCGTTGATACTTTAATCCGCAAATGCCGCGTTATGCCGGTGTTATCTCCGACGATGTTGCGCACTCGCACGATATCGATTTCCCGTTGTAAACGTGTGTCGCATCGAAAGACTCTCTCGTGCGTGCCATTATCGAACGCAGAAACGGCAAAAATATCGATGGTAATCAGTTGCGCGGCAATAATACCGGCAATTTCACCGTCAATTTCATCGTCGGCGCAGTCATCCGCGCGTTTCTCTAATGACACGCGCGGGTCGACGCACCTACATCGTCCGTGCGAAAACCGAATCATGCGTGCGCGAATCACTCGTCATCGTGACACTCCCCGCGACCGCTTTCATTAAAGTCTTTCTAATTAACGACTTGTTCGAAGAAAGCCGCTTTCTTATCTTGCCATTTGCAATATACATATACGAACGGTGTAAATTACATTTTTGAATTTTGCTTACACTGTTTTGAAAGAGATACCGTCACAAAAATCGCATTTGTTATTTTAACTTGTAAGGACACATTGCTAGACTAAACTAGAGACTCTCCAGTAAGAGATTAGATAATTTCTGATATCCAAGCATCTCTTGTTCCATCTTATGCATACATCTCATTCTATCTTAAGTAGATCCTGAAAAATATGACGGACTAAACGTATAATATTTATCAATCCTTTACTCGAGGATCTCTAGGTCTCTATTTGCAAACGTATCCTTTTCTCTTCCCGCAACACAATTAACTCTTAATGCACACGATGAGTCGTTTATGGATTTATTTTCATCACTTTTACATGTATACATAAATTATTAAGTGATTCTCACATATATTTTAACATTTTTAGAAAGTATTTATAAAGTTGTGTGTATTAAAGAAAGGAAAGTATAAAGAGTTATTTAGCCAAGTGCTCCGTGTAATTCAAAGAAAAGAAACGCGCCGCAGAACATAAACCCAATCATATGTATTAAGGATTAATATAAAAAAGTTACGAGTGTGACAACTGCATATATTTTTTGAAATATAATATTGCCTCACGGAACTTGAAAGTCTTGCGATTCGATATTTTAACGCAACGCTCTGTTTTTATGGTTCGTGTTAATGCAAGCTGCATTTGCTGCTCTCGTGAGAGTCTCCTTTTTTTTTCTTCAATCTCACCCGCTTTCTGAAGTAATCCTCGGTATCATCTATTTTCGGAGATCGACCCACGTCACGCGGAATATTTTTGCAACTGGACCGCCGTGTCGGACGTTTATTTTCAAAGATTGAAGCGAGGAATGTGTAAACGGAGACTGTGTAAACCTACGCGCGATATACCGCTACTCTCATCGCCGTCACTGTCATGATGGAAATCTCCTTATGCACTGGTGATAGATCTAGCATATCTCATTTAAAAAAGTCACATGTAAATAAAGAATTAATAAGAGTTTTTTGCGCGGTGAATATTCTTGTATACGGAAAGAGCAATTTTGCAAGTTTGACTTACATAATTAATATCTTGTGTATATTTTCTTAAAAAAATAGTAAAAAAAATATACTCCAACGTTTTAATCATTAAGAATTTTATACATATAGTCAATTCGTTTCCAAACTCTTAATTTATTTTCTATTATAATTTGGTTGAACAAGTCTTACAATTAGTATAGTCGAAATGTTCCATGCATTAGTGAATAACTAGTTTTAATCTTTGACCTAATTAATTGCTCATTTGTTTAAACTTTCTACTAATTTTATTGTATTTACATTGCAATTTTGAGCTAGAAAATCAATATTATTAAAAAAAATAGTTGAAACAAAATTACATTTTTTTAAAATACACATCTTCCCATTGCTTTGCTTTTTTCTTTTCCTTGTCTATCTTTCTTCTCCCTCTCTTTCTCTTTTCTCATTTCAAGTTCCATAACAAAGCACTGTGTATTAAGATACGTAATTGTTTCATTTCTGAGTGTACTACTGACTAGTTTGCCTTCTACAATGGAAAAAAAAAAAAACGTATTTAATGACGCTGCATAGAAATATATAACGTTATCTTTGGCGTGAGAATATCTCTGATATATTTCCGTGTCGAGCGTTGGTATAGTATGTTGTAATCCGTCCTCACCCGATATGGTCAACAATACTAATGTAGACTGTGAAACAGACGCGGTACGAAGTCGAACGAAAATGACTGGTCGGAGTAATTGACCTCTTTAACACGCGCGTAAATTGCACATCTTAAAAAGATACAATTCACATAATAGACGTAATTTACATACAAGACAATGCGTCATGCACAAATTCGTTGCGAAGACGAGCGATTTTGATTATCTCTAAGTAGATAACGAAAAGGCCATGAAATTACTCGACACAAATTCGGGGCAGGAGAGATAGTTCCGAAGAAATTATACTCGCTCGTATTAGTTGTATATGGCAACTTTCCCTCCATTGAGACGAGAAAAAGGAAAGAAACATACGATCGATCTGCAGGTTTGTGCACGCTGCACGAAATTTGAAGTCACGCGTGCTCGGTATTTAGCGAAATTACCATACATCATTATATATCCTTTGACACGGACCTCTCGTTTCGCTGACGTTCATCACGCAAAGAGAAATTTGTGCCATCGAGTTAACTTGACGGCAAAATAGCTTTGTTATAACTCTCGATAGGCAAAAAGTAAGCAAATAAGCACTGACGAGTAAAAAGTGTCTGGTGATCAAGAACGTAGAATGCTTAATAGTATACTTAATATTGACTTTAACCGCTGCGTTGGTATAGAAAAAAAAGTTTAATTTTCTAATGTGATTTTTCTCAACTTATTCCTTTCTCTTCGTCTTTTATACTTTGCACCGGGCGACCAACGTCGAGTGTGTTGCAAATCAGCATTAATTATCATTAAAGGCAGCTGAAATGCAAGTTGTGCCGTGATCGCGCAATGTACTTTTCTTACGGGTATGACGCTTTCTCATATAACTGCACAATTTGTATCCGGCCGTTAACGATTCTGAGAGACACGAGTGACTAATGGAGTACATCCAATTTGGGATACCCGTTCGAGTATTCCAACGACGGATAGCGAGATAACGAGGCAACTTCTGTTTGACGCGTTTAATTGTAGCGATATCTTACAGCCGCGTGTGTTCGACGGAGGCAAATGCGCTGAAATGCGCTGAAATGCGCTGAAATACGCGGAAATGCGCGGCGGGAAAGTTCAACCGCCCGCTCGTTAATTTATGCTACCCCCCGATAAACGATCGTCTCGCAATCGTCGGTGAGCGATTACGGCGTTGTTTAGACCCACGTCGCGTCGTAGCGCCGTCGAAGCTCTTATCTCGAGTCTCAACATCTATCGAGTATTTTCTTTCTCTGATATTAAGTACCAACGACAGTTTCTCCGTAGTTTCTTGGAACGCGTTGCATGGAACATTTATAACGTGATTCATGGTCGGCATTATTCTTTCAGGGTTGCCACAAATTCTTCGTCTTAAAATTCCTTAACTTTTTTAACCTGATTTACAGACCAAATTTCGTAATTTTCCCTGGCTTTCAATCATATTAAAAAAATTTTTTGTATTTTCGTTCTGATTTGGAAACATATTTTGTCGAGAGATTTTACATATAGCAATGTAAATTACTATTGATATATTACTTGCATTTAGATAATTGTTAAGTTGGTAATATTTTAAAACTTTATAGGTGTGATATGTATACGTATATCAAACTTTTTTTAAACCAAGAATTTTAATTTTTCAAAAAATTTTACAAAATTCTCTGATTTTTCCTTCATTTTATCACCATTTTTAATCTTTCCGATATTTCCCTGGTTTTAACGGAGTTACTACAAAACTGAAAATTTACACCTACGTAGTTTTAAAATACTACCAACTTGACAATTTTTTTCATTGCTATTATTGTAATGCTATATATGAAAGTTATTTAAAGCGATAACGGTATGTGGAAGAGAAGCTGGTCGAATTCCTCACTTTTTACGACATTTGGATATCTTTTAATTGGCGAGAAAGTCGTATCTCCGTGCTAGTCGCCGTCAATCACCAATTCGCAAAGCACTTGTTGCAATTTTAAGATCTTTAAATTCATTCTCACAAACAAGTAGTATGACGTTTTATTAACGTGTTTTATCCATGTTCGCTATATTACTATATTTATGATTTGGTCTACTATTCGCTACTCTCGACATTCGCGGTGGCTCGCGTGACTTTCTTCTATCTTGGAATCACGTGAATCGCAAATGTTTCGCGCCTACGCGTTGTCGTTCGTACCACCACCCTTCGGCGCAATTCCGGTGACGAAATTCTATTTTAGAACAGTCGTTATTTTATGATCACATTTATATGCGCACATTTTATCTCGAATGTGTATCTCGTCGTTATTATTAAAACGTTGAATTTAGCAGTCGGCAAAATTAAATGCGTTGAAAATAAGCGAAGAAAATAGCACACATATATTTATCGTGTTCAATCTTACATTTGTTGCAGAGGTACGCCGGTATAAGGAAATCACGGACACGTACGCCACGAAGTTTCCTGATTATACGCTTTTGGACTTGCAAATGGAACTTGATCAAACCGTCTTCCGAAGCCGCTCAACATTTTGCGTGGAGATAAAGCCGAAGCAGGGATATTTACGAGAGGCGGAGCAAAAGTTTCCTGGATGTCCGTATTGTCTCAACCAGTACGCCAAGGTATTCTCAACTACAGCTACGAAAACTACACCTAAGTTCTAAAGCGTCCTATTTCAAGTACAGAACCTCTGCCTTACGACGATTGGTAGAAGAAGATTTAACATTTTTTTAGCTACAATTTAGAACCACATAGTTCAATATCATACAGATTATACAGTCGCCTAAAAATGTTTATTTCGGATCCAAATTATCCATTGTTGTAGTTGAGGGTTAATAAATAATGACATTCACTTTCCAACAGGATTGGCAAATGTTGTTTAAAATAAATAAAATAAAATAAAATATTGTGGTTTTTTAAAAACATATTTTGAACATGTTTAAAACATGTTTACAATATGGTTTTTATCAACTCTGTTTTCCAATTTTCTTTTTGCAAATAACAATAAATAATAGAAATATTATAGTAATATAAGTAATATTAGTACAATATACTGCAGATCATATACTAAAACAAAACAATTTTTTAGTTGAGGAGGAAAGACATTGCTTCTCCCAGCAATTATTGCCCGTTTGATCTGTTCTCTGGAAAGAAGTCGCGCATGAAAGCCGCCATGAAGGAGCTTCTGAAATCGCCACAAAACAATTTGAAAATCTTCAAAGACGGCTTCGTCCTCTACAATCAAACGTCCTCGCCGAACGATCTCGAGAACGTGCTGGACGAGTGGTTTCGGAATGCAGAGAGCGGCGGACGAGCTCGCCACGTCGACGAGTTCTGCAATTTGGTTTGCACCGCCCTTATGCGGCCTATCGCCCAAGAGCAGCTGAAACTGCCTACCACCTCTCTTTCACGTAATTTTCTTGTACTCGCGAATCAAGTTCCAACGACATTTTGTATCGCGCCAGACGCAATTGCGAGAGTCGAACGGTGCCTTCGCCTCGTGGGAAAGGTAGATACTTACTCAGATTGAAAATTATCATTTATTGAGAGTGTAATGTGTCATTGCATTTTAACTAATTTCTATCTTTTTTTTTCTTACAGAAGTGCAATTTTGATCACAGTGAGTTGCCGAAGAACTCCGTGTTAGAACGAATATGGAATATGCAGCGATTGTCCTACGTCAATACCAATTATATTTACAGCGTTTACTCCAATTTCACATCCGTATTAAATGATGATATGATATATTCTGACTTGATAAAATTAAACAAAACTTGTAATGTTTTTCACGCTTTACTCGGAAATCCTATGGTATGTATTCTTAGATATACAAACATACAAAAGAATTTTTGTTGAATACATTAAAGAAAGCTTATCTTTTTCTGTTCCAGAATGCAGTTCAGAAAACGGAAATCATGAAGGAAACAGACTTTCAAACGTTTCTTAAGAGTACTATTGTACAAAAACATGATGACGATTTTAATAGAAATTGTAATGCTAGTTCAGAATGTGTTTTATCTACTAATACTGGCAGAGTACTTATGAATGGTGATCCTGTATCGCAAACAGAAATTAGTTCCAACCTAGATTCGCACCAATCATTTTATGGAAACAAGAGTCTGCATAATCAAAGAACTAGTAATGATGACGAACGAAAGGCAAATGTGCAGATTACCGCCGAACATTTGTCAGCGTTGCAAAATTACCTTTTATTTGTCGCCGCCAGAGATTGTTCGATATTAATAACCTTCCGCGAATTGCATCCGTAAGTGTATTGTTCGAAACAATGACTCGTATTTTCACTGCTGTAATGTTTAAAGCGTCGAGACTAGTATAAATCTTATAACAAAGGCAAAATTGGCGATAAAATTGATTCAATGCATTAGTTCTGAGAGGAAATGCGCTTTCTAATTATTCTCTATAGTCATTGTCCAAACCGTATAATAGTCAATACAGCACTCCAGCAAATAAGTAGCTACTTTATTTATCTGATTATTTGATTTGAACTTAATATAATTATAATCAATTCAGAAAACATATAATTCATAATTCACGCGTTCAACGTGAATCATTATTTACAGCGGCAAATGTGCAACATGTGGGTGATTATTACTTTCACCATATTAAACGCATTTCAGATAATTAGATGTGTTATGTTCCAGTAATTATAATTTTTTTCTTTTTACAGGAAATATGCATCAAGAATGCCTGTGGAAAATATTATAAAACTTTCAGATCAACATTATTTTTTAAGCAACGTCAGAGTTTCCGATTTCGACCCAAAAAGCGTTCATTCCATCAAAAAACATCGACAACGAGATGTGGATATTTTTGATTCTGTGATTTCTTTGCTAAAAGAAAATATTCTTTTTACGAATAGATAATTATCTGAGAAAAGTGATACTAGTAACTATATAGTATTTAATATTAACGATAATGAATCTATTTAGCACAGAGGCAACGTTAACTTAATTAACGATATGTTTACCGATTATGAAGAATGTGATTCTTATGCGAATATATCTCTGTGCGGCGTTCCGTAGATTGCAAGAAAGATATTGCTGTTATCATTCGTCAATTAGTGTGTTAAATTGAATATCACTTCCACATGTATAATATATAAAATTATATAGATAAGCGATCTCCAACGAATATATTTTTTAGAATTCTATTAAACTTTTATAGCTTTAAAGTTTACAGACTACAAAAGAAGATAGGAATTTTTATATCATAAAATGGAAATTTGTTTCTAAACTATAAAATAATATCATTGTTGGAATTATATTTGTTAGTCTTTTATATTGCGAATATATTTTTCAATGGAGTGATATGAGAAACTTTTGTGGACAGAGAAATGAAAAAATATCATATGTAGCATTATGAATATATGATATTCGAGTTAATATAATTGTTTAGCTATAAGTAAGGATCTCTTATCCAAGAACTGATTTAAAAAAAATACAATTAGCACGCTATTTGTATATTGTTAAACTGAAATTAGTTTTAATGTTCCTTCTTTACATTAAATAAGAATTACGAAACGAAATATCCAATAAGAGCATAGCACGTAGCATAAATTTGTAATTATTTGTATCTTATGAAAGATTGTAAACAATTTGCTGTTTGTCATGAAGATAAATTTTAATATTGTTTGAAAATATCGAAAACATTTATTTTAAATTATTAATTATTGAAAATATAATATATTTAAAATATAAAAAAAATTACATAATCTTTCGCTAAAGAGAATTTAAATTAATATTTAAAAAATCTTAATTATAAGAGTAAAAAATTTTTCACCTAATTTTTGTAAGTAATTTTGCTTATTAACAGTAATTCTCGATGTAAAAGAGAGTCTCATTTGTTAAAAGAATGACCGGAGTTAGTCAGAGAGAGAGAGAGAGGGGGGGGGGGGGATTGTGATATTAAATAGTAAGATGAATGTTTTGTTTTATTTATCTTATATATAATTATTGTATTTAAGTTTTTCAAATTTTATTATATACATAACATGTTGTATTATTTCTTAATAAATATCTATAAAAACGAACAATAATTGTATGATACGTTAATTTTTAGAAGTAATTACGCATATAAATTTGGCGAAGATTGAATAGAGATTATGACTTTTTAATGTACCTACTGACCAATAAAGTGGAGCATATGAAAGGACATCCACATTGCAATATCGCACTTAACGTGATCGAATTTTCGTACGGGCAATTGTCCCGGGTACAAGGCCGTGTTGCACAGTTATGAATGACGTGGTTGCAAGGAGGGGTGATCGTGCACCAGAGTTGACCGAATCAGGGATGTACGAAGCTATCATCCCCTGTAGTTTCTCAATAGATTAGTTGTGTATCATTAATTGTAACATTCTTTGTAATGAATAACAAAATTTTATCGTTTGAAACAGCACAATTAATATAACGTGATAAAATTGTACAAAATCATAAGATAAAAAGGGTGAATGTTTTAACGTTAAACAAGCAAATAGTCCTAAAGAAAAGATGTAATATAGAAAAAAATTATTGATGTTTGAAAATTGTATCTTAATAAAAAATGTTCAATTGCTCCTCTTTCTTTTATATTTTCGAAATAAAAGTTGTTTTCTAAAGAATAGAATCTAAAGAATATGTTTCTTATCCTTAAGGATCCTTCGGTTCGTTGCTACATTCCTGAGCACATAGCGCACAATTGGTGCGTCGGTGAGACGGTCGTATACCTCCGACTGTACTCGATCATCTTCGTTGCCCTACCACCATAAGTGCCCCTCCCATCGGGGGCGATTCGGAGATCTGCGGTGATGGTCGTTCAGTCAACGTTCATAAATGATGACGTAAGGTCGCAGCTCGTAGCGAGCTGGCGATTCGTGGTACGTGGTAACGGCCTGTCAGTGAACCTCGGACGGAGATGGGGACGCAAAAGCCCGGGGAATGGGCGAATTTAGTGATCACGCGTTTCGAGGATCAGGTGGGCGATTGGCAATGCTCCGATACGAGAAGCGTCGATCTCCTTGTCTTTGTTTCCTGATCGTTTCGTTTCGTGCTCGCCCTCTCCTTCTCCTTCTTCTCTTTTCCTCTCGCTCTCGCCACCCTCTTCCGGTGTACGGCCACCACCTCCTCCACCTCCTCCTCCTCCTCCCTCTAATGTCACATCCACGATGCATTTACGGTACTTGCCCGAGCTGCTCGTCGATTCCTCGTCAACGCCTTTCATGGGCGCGCCTTGGGACTACACCGGTACCGTCGGCCTCGTTCCCGCCGTACTCGCGCCCCCCGTTCTCCGGCTATCGAATTTCGAGCTCTCTCGCCACTCGTTGTGGTACGCGGGGTGGTGGATGATTTTTCTCGAACAAATGTTTCAACTTATTGAACAACGACTGCAAGGACGGAAATGCGACTGATAGCCGGATTTATATACCTTTGAGTTGGTCAACGTTGTCTCCTAATACGTGCTGAACTTGAGAATTAGGTATTAGGAATGTGTACGATATTTGAAGCGAGCACACACGGCATAAGAAACAATTCATGGACGTAGACGTTTAGAGATCGTTCTCATCAACTGCTAAATATTTAGAATATAACGGCAACGGCTGAATGTTTACAATATTCTCAAGAATCTCAAGGCATCGTTATGTTAGATTGATGAGGAAGATTATAATTATCTGTACGATTTTGTATCAATACTTCAGACATAGGTTTTCTGAAAGATTCCTATTGTTTTATGTTTATTTACAAGACATCTCTACACATGCATAAATTGTATCGCGTACGACTTTCGGATATGATGTAAATTTAATTTTACAAGGAAATCGATCATTGAATACAATTTTTGAACAATAAAGACAAAGATGAAATAATAAAATTTAATAATCGAAAATTTTGGAATACTGTTGTAACGAAGAGTGATACACGTCAGAATCTTATATTTAAAAACAAGTATAAAAGATTTATTTACATAAATCAAATATTAAATAATACCTACAGAAATTGACGGAATATATACAGAACAACCTATTATAATCGAAGCATTATTCAATTCTCCAAGTCTGATACAATTTCGAGATACCACATGTTAGATTTTCCATTATTAAACCATCATGTGATTAATCGTTGATCTAATCTAATGTTTGCCAGTAGACGTGGCTGAAAGAATCGAACTGAACAGGTTTTTCGAATACCTACGATGATCTATCTTTTCCAAGAAAAAAAAAAAAAAAGAAACAATCGTCTATAATCGTGCTAGACGGTGATACGTTTTGAGCGCGTATCGATAAAGTGGGGGGGTATATCATCGTGCCCGAGAATACGATGTCGTTCCTTCCCTCCTTGATTCGTTCATTCATGAAAAGATGCATTCTTGCAAAGATGGCCCCTCCTCCCCTGGCTCCCCTCGTGCGGTTTGACCTTCGCCCCCTCCGCCTCCAGTCAACCTCGCCGTAAGAGCAGCTCAATCAAGGTGTATATACAGTAACGTATCTATTAAGGGGTGCGAGGTGTAAACTCGTGTGACTTTTGTCCATTTCTACCAACGTAGATTAACTTTAATCTCGTTTTAATTTGCTCTTTATCCTTTTCTATTTCTTAGAACTAGAGAGATAAAGATGAAAAATAAGTTAAACCAAGGTTAAAGATAATCTACAGTGATAGAAGTGGTAGCAACGAGCATTTATGATTCACGAACGCTATTTCGCTGATTAACGTGAGAATAATATAATTGAGGAAATGCTTTTATGTGTGTGTGTGTGTGTGTGTGTGTGCGTGCGTGCGTGCGTGCGTGCATGCTCCAATTACGAAATCCGTTATTTACAAGCGATACATAAATTCGCGTGGAGCACTGTATAATATAGAGCGCGATATATAAAAATAACAATCAACGAATTCGACAGTCAACGAATCTCCGGCTATATCAAATGAGTTACAGGACGAGATTCTGCGCTCGTGTCTGCCTATCCCCGCAAAAATGACGGTAAAAAAAGAAAGAATTCTCTTACTGTTCGTACGTTTGATACGAGTCGATGAATGGGATGGGTATATCCATGAATGAAAGTTGCATTCCCTATACGCACAGCTCAACCGCGCTGCCCGTTGCCCGATACGCCGAACAAAAGGGAATACCGGAATCGATAGAGTCGAACGAGTATATAAATTGATGTTTTCCTCCAATGTCCAGGCAATTTGTTGCTACCATTATTTCAAAGATTGTTCCGTTTCACTCTTAATGCCTCTTTCAGGCGTGCCTCCTCCATCCTGATAATCACCCACGGGAGACGAAAATGGATTCATCCAACAATACTACTCGTACTCTCGACACACATACTTAATTTATTTTTGTTACATAGTACATTTATTGTTAGTTTATCTTTGTCTAAGAGATCACTCCTTTGAATACAGCTGCCATGTCGTTCCGGTCCCGAAAGTCCCCATTCTCGGGTGAACGAAAAGAGGAGCAAGAAATGTCTAATAGAGATCTCTCGGTACCGTTTCTCTCTCGTTATATCTGGTCTTACGAAGATGCTGCAACGAGTCAGTGAGCTCACACCGAGCACGAGCAGTCAGCGGCCGTTCCAATCCAAAGAGCAAGATCGGCAGGAGTCCATCATTATCGTTCTGGACACGCTGGAGAAGTGCCTGGCAAATACACCAAAAGACACAACGAAATTCGAGGAGGCGATGAATGTGAAACTGTTGCTTCGGGAGATATGCCAGTTCATAGGTGAGCGAAACAAGGAAAATTGTTGAGATAAGTTGACCTTGTAACGTTTACAGAATCGATTTGTACATACAGAAAAATACATATTGTACACAAGTAACAATTCCTTGTTTTAACTTTAAAAGTTTATATATTCGTAAATGTACTCTCTAAAATTTTTGGAGCGGAATCTAACTCTAAAGTGTGAAATTTCATTCTTAAAAATTATCAATTGAGCCACTCTTTTTCAACACTGACTCAATTGTCACTCTTTGTCACTCTTTAGAATTAAATTTTACTCTAAAGATTTTAGGGAGTATCATAAGTTCATCACAAGCACTAAATTTATTTAAAATATATTCTGAATTCTATAATAATTTAATATTTTAGTTAAGATTATTGAATTAAAAATATTTTTATTGTATAATATATGAAGTCACTTCTTCGATTAATTTTATAATATTTTTCAAAAGAAAATAAATTCTTATTTCAAGTATATAATGAGTGTTTCTAAAATTTCTACTAAGTATATTTTAAAATTATTATCAAAAAATATTCTTTATGTTAAAGATAAGCATTACTTGAAAAATGAAGAATGTAAATTGAGTAATCATTTCTTTTTTACAATAGAATAATATTTTTCTATGTGTATACCATACCTGATCATATGAGAATTAAAGCGCATGTTTAGTAGTTGATTCATTAGAGATAATTGTAACTTTTTGCAGGTATGCCCTACGACAGTCCACAGACGAAAATGATCAGGGATTTAGCGAGCAAAGTACTGTTCGCTTTAAGCTTGAATTTCTTCAACGCGGTCTTTAACCGGATATCTGCCAGGCTTCAGGAACTGCCCAATAGCGGGGATGAGAATTCAGATTGTAGTGACATTGAGTTGATGCAGTATATCAATTTCGATGTCCATAGATTGACCAGATTACTGAACGGTAGGCGATGATTATTAACGTTACACGATCGCATAATAGGAAAATTTAATACATTGTACACTTACGCGCGCGTTTACGCGCTATCGTTGCAGAAATTATACAGAAAGTCCGGCAACTAATTGGCAAGAAGTCAGCGTATCTCGTGATTATGAATCCCTTGGAGAAAGCTATCTGGAATTGGATGGACACGTATCCGCAGGAGTTTGCCGATGTGCAGAAGCAGCCTAACGAGGATCTTAGTAAGGCGTGTGAGGAGTTATTCGACATTCTCGACACGTTCGTCGCCGAGAAGAAGAGTCGCGCGGCCTCTGTTTGGCCGTTGCAGGTGATGTTGTTAATACTCTCGCCCAAGGTGTTGGAGATCGTGAACGCCGACACTGGGCCACCCGATTCTCCACGGTATTCGAAGAAGAAGCAGTTCATCGACAACGTGAAGCGTAGTCTAAGAATGCACGGTAGCTCTTCTAGTCGCCAATTGTCTGAGGCTGCGGCTGTCACATGCGTCAATCTTATCAAAGCAGCCACGTATGTCAGCAACGATTCTATCACCAACGTTGTCCTAATTCTGGCGCAGCAACTGATGGACGATTTAATGAGCCTTCTCTTCAACCCATCGAAACCATTTTCACGCGGACAGAATTATAGCGCGCAGGACATCGATTTGATGATCGATTGCTACGTTAGCTCCTTTCGTATCGATCCAGTCAACAACGAAGCTTTTTTTAAGTTTTGTTTGAATGTCAACTACCCGTCAACATACCAGTTCATCCTAGTCAGCTCATTATACAAGCAAGTGCCGAAAATATTTTCTTTTCGTAGTGATCGCGAACGAGGATCTTGTAAATTGTTAACAAGTCTGACCAAGTTTGATGTCATATTTCAGGATCTTCACACAGCCGAGATTACCGTGGTGGCCAGAGACCAGTCTTGTATATTCATACGGCACAGACCTCAGGAATATGTTTACTGATACCCTGAACAAAATGACGCAGAACTGTAGTAATACGCCGTTGCGCATGATTCACAATTTTTCTCTCAAGTCTAAAGAGGAGATGGCCAATTCCAAAAACTTGTTATTGGTGTTGGTGCAACTCATTCACGTGGACCCTATGTTAATGTTGCATGTACGTTCTTTATTAATAAATTAATATAAGACGATCGTGAATATAAGCGTCTACAATAGGATATCGATGAAAAATATAACATTTGTTACTTAATAGTTAAAAAAACATATGCATTCTATATCTCAAAAACACTTTACAGAATTACGGTACAGCTGGTCACGAAATACAAAAGTCCACTTTAGAGCTGATTAACGGACTTGTCTCATTAGTTCATCAGCCCACGATGCCAGATATCGCCCATGAAGCGATGGAGGCTTTGTTAGTGCTACACCATCCAGATAAGATCAAAGCGTGGAATCCAGAAGCGCCGCTTGATACTTTCTGGGACGCCAGTTCGCAAGTCGTCTTCTCAATCTCTCAGAAATTGATTCAACATCAAATTTTCAATTACACAACTATACTTAAATGGCTTCGCGAGATACTGAGTTGCAGGAATGCTTTCCTTTCTCAATGCGAAGATTACGCGAATGCGGAGAGCCACTTTGTGATTAGTAAACAAGCACATATTAAACTTGAGGTACAGACTTTTAACTATCGCAAAATATGCCCAATTAGAATTAATTTGTGAAATTTGTAACGTGTCTAGGTCATGTGTTTGATGTATTTATGGAGCATAGACATGGAGGCTGTTTTGGTATCCATGTCCTGTTTTGCACTATTATGCGAAGAAGCTGAAATTCTTTGTGGCAGCGATGGAGTAGTAGTGACCTGTTTGCTTCCCAATTATCAGCTGTATTTAGAATTGGCGCAAGCTTCGACCGTATTGATCTCTGGTGAGTTTTATTTCTCTAACGAGATTTTATGAGAATACTCAGAACAGATGGAGAGAAATGTTCTCCCAGATTCACTTGTAAATCTTTGAATCAATTTTTCTACTTTAATTAATAAAATAGTTTTATTCATCTGTAGTAGAATATTAAAGATCTTGTTATGATAATAGCCCACGGGGAGACTAAACTATATTATCAGGAATATAATTACGGTGAGTCTTTGTCTCCAATTTTGTTCATTATTTTTATATTTTTATTGTTGTTTCTCTAATAAATTGATTGTTAAATGAAGAAATTGTATTGATGCAGCATTTTAACGTTTCTTTTTATTTCAGGGCGTGTCACGTTACAAAAAAAAATATTATCTTTATTGAGAAAGATAGAACATTGCGTAAATGGTATACAACCAGTACGTACATTAATATATATTTATTTTTCGTATTTACGTGTAATATGAAATCTATCTCTACATATACATGTAAAACAACATAATATAAATTGTATATTTAACACAAACATCAAACATAGTTTTTTTCTTAATTGACAGATTTTACGTTCATATTTTTAGGCTTGGGAAGAAACATTTAGAAATTGGGAAGCAACTTCACGGCAGTTGTCCAATTATCCTAAAAGCAAAACTGAGGATGTACAGGTAGAGCCGTTTTGTCGCGGCAATGTAAAACGGAGAGCAGCGCACCAAAATTCAGAACACGAAATGGAAGAACAAATTAACGAGTGGGCTAACATGACAGGGTTCCTTTGCGCTTTGGGCGGAGTATGTCTACAACGTTGTTCACCTAATAAACCACCATATGGTGTATTCCCTTTTAATCCGGAGCATAAAAAGGGTTTGATAAAACAACAGGATTCTGTCTCAGGTTTATCAAATTCTAATCAAGAAGCACAATGTTGTCCAGTGACACAATTCGTATTTAACTTGCTACGATTATTAATTTGCAACAATGAGAAACTTGGCAATCAAATACAGAAACATGTAAAGGAGTTGGTCGCACACGAGATGAGTCCTGCTCTATATCCAATATTATTCGATCAGATAAAAAATTTTGTTGAGAAATTCTTCGACCCACATGGTCATGTGGTGGTTTCGGATTTAAACACACAATTTATTGAGCACACTATATTTATAATGAAAAATATTCTGGATTCAACGACGGATCAACCATCGGAGTATCTTGGAGTGACTAGCATCGAAGGCATGATGTTGGCAATCGTTAGATACGTCAGGCACTTGGACAAGACGGTGCATTCGATTTTAATTAAAACCAAATTATGCCAGCTAGTTGAAGCTATGATGAAGAGACGGGACGATCTTGCATTTAGACAGGAGTTAAAATTTCGTAACAAACTAGTTGAATATTTAACTGAGTGGGTAATGTGTACACATCCTCATTCTTCAACAACTGCCAACGATATCCTAACTTATGCCACGTAAATATTTTGTTTTTACTTCATATACGTTTAACTTCTATGTTAAAAATGCAAAAAAATTATGACCATCAAATCTGTCTTTAACTTTCTATAGAGATTTGGATCAAGCTAGCATGGAAGCAGTAGGAGCGTTATTACGTGGACTGCCTCTACAGCCTGAAGATTCTGATCGTGTTGAATTGATGGAAGCAAAATCTGAACTTTTTTCGAAATATTTTACGCTGTTTATGAAATTAATGAACTACTGTAACGGTCCATCATCAACATCAGAAGACAAAGATGTTGTGCCTCGGCCTACTTTAACGACTAACAAAGTAGCCATTTTGCGCAACACTGCTATTCAAGCTATGAGTAATCTTCTTAGTGCGAATATAGACAGTGGTTTGAGGCACTCCATACGTACGTAATAAATCAGTTTACATGGTTTTAATTCAAAAGTTTTCTAGAAGAATGGATTATATAAGTCCTAAAGACAAGTCTGCTGCTTTTAATTTTATTTGTTACTTTACTTTTTTAGACAATTCTTCAGTTACTATCAAATTAATTATTTTATCATTAAACTTTAACTTTTTTCTTACTTAGATTTGGGCTACAACACAGATCTACAGACGCGAGCCGCATTTATGGAAGTGTTGACTAAAATTCTTCAGCAGGGCACGGAATTTGATACTCTTGCCGAAACTGTGCTAGCGGACAGATACGAACAGTTAGTTCAACTTGTTACAATGATCAGTGACAAAGGCGAATTACCTATCGCCATGGCACTGGCTAATGTAGTGACGACGAATCAAATGGATGAGTTGGCGCGTGTCTTCGTGACACTGTTTGACGCAAAACATTTGTTATCACCATTATTATGGAATATGCTCTACCGAGAAGTCGAGCTAACTGATTGTATACAGACTCTTTTTCGCGGTAATACTCTGGGAAGTAAGATCATGTCCTTCTGCTTTAAAATTTATGGCACAAGCTACTTGCAAGGCTTACTCGAGCCTCTCATTACACCTTTACTGGACAACTCAACAATTCATTTTGAAGTAGATAGCGCAAGGATTGACCCTAACGAAAATATTGAACAAAACGGTGAAAACTTAATCATGTTGACACAAAAAGTGTTCAATGCTATCGTATCATCTGCAGATACGTAAGTATAATCGTTATTACAACTTACAATAAAGTCACGTAATGCTCAAATCTAAAATCTCTTTTTAGGTTTCCTCCGCAGTTACGCTCTATGTGTCACTGCCTGTATCAAGTATTATGCAAGAGATTTCCGCAATCTCCGCAAAGTAACATTGTAGCCGTAGGAACGGTGATATTTCTTCGTTTCATTAATCCTGCAATCGTCTCACCTCAAGAGTCTGGTATCATAAATAAACCAGTACCACATGAAATTAAACGAGGCCTAATGCTTATGTCAAAGATATTGCAGAACATTGCAAATCATGTAGAGTTTAGCAAGGAGCAGCATATGTTGCCTTTCAACAATTTCTTAAGAACGCACTTTGAGATTGGTCGACGATTTATCATACAGATAGCATCGGATTGCGAAACAATTGATCAAACCAATCATCCTATGTCATTCGTTTCGGATGCCAATGTATTGGCGTTGCATAGGTTGTTGTGGAATCATCAAGAAAGAATTGGAGACTATCTTAGTAGTAGTAGAGATCATAAAGCTGTCGGAAGAAGACCATTTGACAAAATGGCTACGTTATTAGCGTATCTTGGGCCACCCGAGCATAAACCGGTGGATTCGCAGTGAGTTCTGAACCTATTCTCGCTTTGATTACGTTATCATCGCGGTGGCGTAATATAAATCGCGAATTGATTCCATGTTTGAATTTCAGCTCGCTTTTTTCTGCTACTTACGTTCGCATGTCACGATGGGCGAATAAAGACATGTCGTCCACTAATTTTGAAGAGATCATGATGAAATATAATATGCACGAGAGAGAAGAATTTAAAAGTATCCAAAGCATGAATATTTTTTATCAAGCAGGCACCAGCAAACAAGGCTATCCAGTATTTTACTACATTTCACGACGATTCAAGTAAGCGCAAATCGTTATAAGATATAAAATAACGGTCAGGGTATAGCGAAAAATTTATCATTTAAACTTTGATTTTTAGACTTGGCGAAACGAATGGCGATCTACTGATATATCACGTCATTCTAACTTTAAAACCTTTTTATCATTCTCCATATGATGTAGTCGTCGATCTTACTCACACGTGTTCAGATAATCGGTTTAGGACAGAATTTTTGCAAAAATGGTTTTACGTTCTACCTGTGGCAGCTTATGAAAATCTTCACGCGGTATACATTTATAATTGTAATAACTGGGTACGTGAATACACAAAGTATCATGATAGTATCCTGGCACCATTGAAAGGTAATCGAAAAATTATTTTTATCGATGGACAAGGAAAATTAAATGACGTGATCGATGTCGAACAACAAAAGTTACCTGGAGCAACATTATCTCTGGATGAAGACTTGAAAGTCTTCGCCGGCGTCTTGAAACTATCTCATAAAGAAATGAAGGTGTCCGTGAAGATCGGACCAACGACACTACAGATAACGCATACAGATAGATCTAAAGTGTTATCGCAATCCATTCTTTTAAATGATGTTTATTATGCGTCCGAGATAGAAGAAGTTTGCTTAGTGGATGACAATTCATTTGTGCTAAGCATTTCCAACGAAGCAGGACCTCTGACTTTCGCTCACAGTGATTGCAACAGCATCGTGCAGAATATAGCTCACATTAGAAGTCGCTGGACTCTATCGCATCCGAACTCTTTGTCCGTTCACTCGAAAATCAGGCCTAAAGATGTGCCTGGTACTCTACTGAACATGGCTTTACTGAATCTCGGTAGTCCTGATCCTAATCTTCGGACTGCCGCGTACAATCACCTATGCGCGCTCACAGCAACGTTTGGCTTAAAAATAGAAGGTCAGTTGTTGGAGACGTCCGGTATCTGCATACCATCGAATAACACCATATTTATCAAGCACTTGAGTGAGACTTTGGCAACGAACGATCCGCATCTCACGCTCGAGTTTCTCAAAGAATGCATACAAGGCTTCAGGGAATCGACCATTGAACTGAAACATTTATGCCTGGAATATATGACGCCGTGGCTCAGCAACCTCGTGCGATTTTACAAACCTCACGACGAAGGTAAGCGGCAAAAACAGGTTACAGAGATCCTGGACGATTTGATTACGTTAACCGTTCAGGAGATTGAAATGTATCCGAGTATACAGGCTAAGATCTGGAGCACAATCGGTATGTTGCCGGAACTGATAGACGTTGTTCTTGATATTTTTCTTCAACGTAGCGCACGATACGGCTTAGGTTCGCCGATGGCCGAGATTATGGCTGACACTGCTGTTGCTCTGGCGTCCGGTAACGTGGAACTGGTCGCCAAGAAACTGATTAACAAGGTATGTCGAATAGTGGACAAAACGTGCATGTCGCCGACGACACAGTTAGAGCAGCATATAATGTGGAGCGACATAGCGATCCTAGCGAGATATCTTTTGATGTTATCCTTTAATAACTGTCTGGATGTAGGGAAACATTTGCCATATATCTTTCATACGGTGACGTTGCTCTTATGTTCTGGTAGTTTGACTATGCGAGCTTCCACTCACGGTTTAGTGATCAACAGTATTCATTCATTGTGCACATGCAGTTCGCCTGCGTTTACCGAAGATACAAATAGGATACTACGGATGAGCCTAGACGAGTTCTCATTGCCCAAGTTTTACCTATTGTTCGGCATCAGCAAGGTGAAATCTGCTGCTGGCACAGCCTTCTACAAACATCCAAACTACAGCAATAAACCCGTGAATGAAAAGTGGCTCAGTAGCGATCAAAGAAGCGCGTATGGAACGCAGGACAAGGAGAGACTTTATTTAACCAGTTTGGAAGTCATAACCGACGCTCTTTTGGAGATTATAGAGGCTTGCATGCGGGATATTCCGAAATGCGATTGGTTAAAAACGTGGACTTCGTTAGCGAAGAACTTTGCTTTCTGCTTAAATCCAGCTTTGCAGCCGAGGGCTCTCATCGTCTTTGGTTGTATCAGCAAAAGTATAACGGATCAAGATATGAAACAATTACTGAAGATATTGATGAAGGCGCTTGAAAGTTTTAACGACATTAATCTTATAGAGGCTATTGTTATGTGCTTAACACGATTGCAACCTCTTCTGAGACCTGTAAGTTTCTTCCCCGTTTAGCGTCTTGGAGCTCGTTCTATTTTGACATTCCGTATTAAATCTGTTTTATCGTTTTCTGTTAAGGAATCCCCAATACATAGGTATTTATTTTGGGTTGCCACATCCGTTCTAGAGTTAGACGAAACGTCGTTATACGCATCCGGTCTAGCCCTTCTAGAGCAAAATTTGCATACACTTGATTCGCAAGGCACTTTCGACGAGAAGGTTTGCAGAAATTTCTTCTCGAATTTTGATTAATTTTTCAATATCTCTCGATATGCAGAACAATAGAGAATAAACTATCACTATTTTTTCTAGACACTAGAACATGTAATGATGTCAACGCGTGAACCTTTGGAATGTCAATTTAAACTATTAGATCACACCGTAGGCTTATCCTTTAAGTCTAACTTTCATTTCGCGCTGGTTGGTCATCTTCTGAAAGGCTATAGGCATCCTACACCAACTACAGTCACCAGGACGGTCAGAGTATTGACCATGTTACTGGCAATCATAGCTAAACCCTCCAAAAGGGATAAATTTGAAGTAACGCCTGAAAGTGTCCCTTACTTAACTGGTACGTTTGATTTGAGAGATCGAAAGCTCAATATTTTTATATCAAGATTAAAAAAAAAATCTATTCAAATTTTATTCCGCAGCGCTAGTGGCCGTATCAGAAGAGGTTCGTAGTAGGTGTCACATCCGACATTCACTTGACAAAAGTTTACACGATTCATCAGGCAGTTCAGACGTTCTTGACACTTTACCGTCGCGCAATACGGTGACTATCTTTTTTCTATTTGTTGTAATATAGCATATATAAAATATAATATATAAGATGATTGTATGCCTATCAGGAAATGCCTGGAGCTTCTAATCCTACAAGTAGAAGGCAGAAAACTTGGGATTTACTGGATCAATCAGCACTTACTCAAGCAAAACAACAAAAACAATCTGCACAGGTATAAATTATGTAATTATACGATCGCGCGCGTATGTTGTTCAAGAATTTCTCTTTTGTAAGCTACAGCGATAATTATAGCAACGCGCGTAGTTATAACTTGTTCGTTGGAAATATTGTAGGAATACAAACTTTTGCGTCCCGAAAATTTTACTTTTTTAAATTGTTTATGTAAAATATATCAAAATGTAGCACCATTCTCGCACACACAATTTCTTACTTAGCAAGTTAAAGAGAAATCACTCTCGAGCATACAGAGAGCATGAGGTTACTTTGAAACAATGCACTGCATGATCCTAAGAAAATCGATGCTCGCACGAAGTAAAATTATTCAAAGCTTATTCGTACAAAATATGAACTATCTTTCTCATAAAATATTCATATGCGTAATTTGCGCGATAAATTATATTGCTTCTATTACTATTAGTAGCTTCGCTTATCGTATTTTTATGAATTGTTTGATAAAAATCTTTCACTTTTGCCAAGAAATATCTGTTCGTCAAAAAACCCACTGCCTAAAAATTTGTGTGTGTGTATGTGTGTTATCTATAAAATTATAGTAAAACGTATCTATATCCATCTATTTATCTATCTGAAAATTTATATACCTTGAGTATGTATCCTACTTTATTTATCTTCTTGATATAGAACTTTTCAATTATGTTTTATTTTTGAGTTTCTTGACGCACATGAAAATAAATCAAAACCTCAGCTTTTAAGCACGAAATTGAACGAAAATTAATTTCGCGTGATGGTTTTTCTATCGTTTTGCTATACTTCTTTATCCGACTCCCAGTTAATACTAGTAGACTTGTTGCGCATATAACATCATTTTATTCCTCCGTGCATCTCTGTTTACTCTCTTGGTGTGTGCCCGCGCCTGCCTGTGCCTGCCTGGATTATATAAAACACCATGCAACTTGTCACTAACAAGACTGGCCGGCTTTTATTTAAATCGCAGCGATCCTTGAGCGTGCCAAGCGCAAAGGACGACAAGTCGACCGACAACACAGAACAACAGGTACTTTTGGTTTCTGTCATTTTAGTAACAATTTTTATATTTTTTTTTTCCTTTTTTTCAAATGCAGTTTGAGATGCAGTTGTGTTTAACTATTCATATTGGGGGAAACATGAAAATGTCTTGTTACTATAATATTTTCTTAATCTTATCGTGAGTCGACATAATGAGAAAACTAACATCGCATATTTATATTTTTTTCGCTACAGAGAGATCGGAGTACGAGAGTGAGTTTAAGCAACGAAAATAACGTTTTGCTCGATCCGGAAGTGTTAACAGATTTTTCAACGCAGACTTTGGTGCTGACTATGCTGGCCACGCTAGTAAAATATTCCACTAGCGAAAACGAAACGCGGATTCTTTATGAGTATTTAGCGGAAGCAACTATAGTTTTTCCGAAAGTTTTCCCAGTCGTGTAAGTTTTCTTAGAGATAGATAGGAAAGAAATTAGTCTATTTTCAAATATTTACAACTTGCCGAATATCTCTTTGCAGACATAACTTGCTTGATGCGAAGATCAACAGTGTATTGTCTTCTTGTCAAGATCAAGTAATATTAAATGCAGTACAAACGATTATTCAAAACATGATTGCCTGTGAAGACTCAAATCAACATCATTTGCAACATTATTTGCAAAGTTGCGGATTTCGGGGTCTTTGGAGATTCGCAGGCCTTTATACGAATGTAAGTTCTGAATTCTAGTGTTTAATTTATTTTTTTGGTTATTTAGTTTTAATACTAAGGATCATTATCGGATTTGAGGAGCTAGTCTTAATTTTCCTTAACGTAATTAATAATACGTTTACAGTCTAATTGTACGCCTGAGAATGCTGAGTTGTTTGTTAATTGCCTGAAAGCAATGGTGGAAATATTGGAAATGTATTTGATACAAGAATCGAATAGTAAAGAGGAAGTTATTATCAGGAAGAGTAAACGAGCCAATAATTGTCAAACAGATTTTACATCAAAAACAAAATCATCTCCTGTCCAAGAACAAATTCGTGTCCAAGAACAAACCGAAATTAACGTTCATGCAGAGTGAGTCTTATTTTAGAGTATTATCGCTTTTGTGACTTTGTGTAAATTATGTTGTGCATATGTAACAATGTATATCGGACAAATTGAATGTTTCAGTCGTAATACGAATAACAAGCGAGACGATTCAGTTGATATACGTCGAGCTGAGGATACGGGTGGCGATGATGGTGGCGGCCATTCACATTCTTAGCAATTAATTTATGATACTGACAGACAGTGTGATAAAAGTGTGCATAAAAGGCAAAATAATCGAAAGTTGCAACGACAGATGAGGTGTGCGAACTCTAAATAATCGCATTGTAAATATAGGTAAGGTATCAATGATTCCATTAGAAGGCATTATTATATCTACTTATTCAGTATTTATTAATTGAGAAAGAAATTTACCTGCTAATATCTTATTTTGCAGAACCTCGCACACATTTATCCCCTATTTCTGCTGCAACATGTCAGTTTAGTACAATACCGTCAGTTTAGTACAATGCCGTCCACGATATAATGAGCCTACAGAAATGGAAGTCGATGAAAGCTACATTTCTGAAGAATCTTACTTTATTTTTATTGAATATATATTATTCATGACTTTTTGTTGTTTAAGCTTGTGACTATTTTGTCAATGAATCGTACAATACTTGCTGTTTTAATGTAATAGTGTTGCTACGAGATTTAAATGAGTATTATAGCATATATGTTGCCAACACTTTTACAACGAAGTTGGAAAATTGTGAGCATAAATTTTCTCGCTATATAGCGTAAAATCAGACTTCAGCGAATTAGTATATAATATTTTGTCATAATTTCATCAACATTTACAAATAGAAAATGATTTATGGTATTTACGATATTTTTTGTCAAAAAATTTATTAAATCAGTAACGAGTATGTGTTCGATATTTTTCTCATAATTAATACGTATAATTTATTGACTGGTTCTGCCATGATCGCAATACACTACATATATACAGAATCTCAATGATCCACAGTGAACCAATCGCGGAAAAAGGTATATAAATAAAAATTTAATAACCATTGCTCGCAATTTTTTGTTACATAGAAATATATATTTAACGTAAAGCTTCTACCGCAAGAAAAAAATATGTATATTGTTTACGATTTATTTTTAAATAATTGATTGTAAAATACCGTAAACAATTATTATTTTACTTACGAAAGAGTCTTTGTTGATCTAAGGGCGGTTATGTTAGACGTAACTTTTTACGCAAGGATCGTATCGCTCCTTCTCGTATGTCATTGCATATAGATCTCATCAATGCAAAGATGATTTGGACCAGTGGCGCCTGTCGTCTCAAGGCGTTCGAAGCTCCGGGACGAATAATTTCTAGAATCCTATCAAGAGAAACACCAATATAAGTGTATATTGTCTACCACTTATTAAAGTACAAAGCGAGACCAAGCGATATTTTCTCTGTATTGTAACGTAAGCCGAGATATTTTAGTAATAAGGAAAATAAGGAAAAGGGAGAGAATAGTCGAATGTGTAAATCGATACATCTCGCACATCTTGTATTAGCAACGTGAATACCAAGTGCCAGGGATCGTGTTGAAATAGTATTTTGATGTACGTATCGCAAAGAGAATACTCGCCCCGTTTTTATTTAAACTTCATTTATTTATTTAGATAATTTTCTTTCTTTCGCCATAGCAAGTGTGACATATATAAATAATGAATGTCTCAGATTGAGAAACGTGGAAATGATATTTTTGTGCGGTTCTGCAGAATGAATAGCAGCTTCTCAACGGCACTAGAGTGATTGTTAGGAGTTTGAGAGATGTATTTGTACATAGTGCGCGAATCGTATAATGTTTGTACAATCGTGGCGACTTTGTAAGTTGATTTTGTGTTCATCTGTATTTTTAGACAAGTTTTTAGAGACGCGCAAAAAAAAAATACGTCGTAGAAAATCAATAAATTTACTAATTAATGTATTGATTTCTACATACCGAGCTTTTTCCGAACTTGTACTTAACATGAATGAATTTACGTTCAAGTCATTAATTACTATTACATGAGCTTTGATCTTACTAAACGTGCACTAGTCATATTATAAATATTTTAATATCGAAAAGAGCTCGAGGTAAGTTTTTTACAGCGTTTTTTGTACACATAGTCTTTATTCCTACTGATTATTTGTTATAAAATTGTCAATCTAGTAATCATCGTGGCATGTATAAGCTGATTTTAAATATTCATAACTCACTAATTTATAATAATTCGCGCAGTTCGGATTTGTTAAACACAACCGTAACTGCCGTGTGATCACAAGTCTTGTTGTCTTTTACCAAAGGTGTAAATCGGCCTAGGCTGCGTTAGATAAGGCGATTAATTTACTACAATTAATAATAAGAACGATAAACCATAATCGTAATGGCTTAACATGTACGCGTTGCATTCGGATTTGTCATCAGTTCGGCATTTTCCTTTCGGACTTCGTGTTTTTCCTTTTTGCGATATTCCTAGAGCACGTATCATTATGACGAATCTGTAAATATAAAATTTTAGCGTGTAAAGATTGATGAACAACGAGGCGTATGTCGGACTAGCGAACATTGATTTATACTAAAAAAATTCAGAGAAATTTATGCGCACATCTTTCTGATTTTCACGCAGCAGGCTTGTTCACGTCGCATGCTCCAACGTACTTCTACCAATAGGTCTACTCACTCCAACGCGCTCGTTAGAGTAACCAAGACCTATAGTAAGAACATGTTAGAGCATCTTGGAGGAAGTTACGCAAACAAATGTAGCTTTATTTACATTTAATTTACAATTAAATAAAACAAAGGAGAACTATCGATTTTTTAATCGTGCGCATATTTTTTATCGAATGTATCTTTTTTGTAATTTGTACTAACAATTTAATTTCAAAGTAATATTTTCTCGGTATTTTTTGATTGTATAGTTTCGCATGTACATAATTAAATATAATCGACGAAAAAGTGGTTAATAATCAAAATTATGAAGTAAAAGAGCATAAAACCACAGCACAGGTTGTTAAATGTGATATTTAATCTATTCAAATTTAAAAAATTAAACGTTTTGGCCAATATCTGGCCATCTTCAGTAATTACAAATTAAATCAACGCATAGGATACATAAAATATAATATTCGCAGTCATATATCTATTTTGTCAACTTTACAAACTATTATCATTATCATGCGTGCGCATATGTTCCGTAGTAGATGAGGATTATTTAAATTGTTTCGAATTGTGCATAAAGAGAATTTCCAGATTTTAATATAAAAAATGTGATAAAATTAATATCTTGTGAGTTGATTACTAAGAAATTAACTACATTACCTGTTTTTATATCGCAATTCGTTAACATTTATACTTCATCGTAGGCACTTTAACAAACAAATTGGAATATCATCTTGAAAGCGTATAGATACTGTGTATCGTGTTCTGTTGTGTGTCGAATATATATATGCGCGGTGATTTCGCGAAATTTCTAAAACATAACTTAAGAGAGAGCGAGAAAGATCACAACTTAAGCAGAGGCAGATAAACATCGGGCAATCTTTCGGTATCGCTTTGCTTATTTATGCTTTTCGTTTGACTTTTTATGCATATCATCTCCGATATTCTTCGTTTATATAAAGATTGTCCTTTATCTAAAATGCTAATATTCTTCCAATCTAATTCGTGATTGTTACTTATCTATCCTATGCGTTGATTTAATTTGTAATTACTGAAGATGTGGCCAGATATTGGCCGAAACGTTTAATTTTTTAAATTGAATAAATTAAATATCACATTTAACAACCTGTGCTGTGGTTTTATGCTCTTTTTCTTCATAATTTACGTAATTAAATATGTTCAACTTGCCAGTTATAAACTTTTGTATATATAAGAGTTAAGATGCCTCCAAACGATATGACCACTTATGTATACGTCAACTTTGTACACATTCGCTAAATATTGGCCTACATTCAATATAGATAATTACAAATATGTCATGTGTGTATGATATTTGCTAATGTGGTGAACATTGTCCATATTGTTTGGAGGCTCCTTCATATTAGTGCTATCAAATAGAGTCCGGCAATACGGTATGAACATGTGCGAGCAAAGAGTACGTGAATACGTAAGAATATAAGATGTAATATTTATTTAGCGGATCGTGATACGCACACAGGATAGTTAAATATATAATAGCTCTGCGAACTCTCGATTCGCGCAGTCGACATTAAACAATATATATTTTTCTCTTGATCGAATCTATTCACGACGTGATTATCTGGCCTTTCTATACGGATGCAATGAGACAATTTTTTGTGTAAATATCCACGAGATTAAAATGCTATTTGTTAAACTATATAAATGTGTATGTTTTTTTTATTGATTTAAACTCTTGAATGTTTTATGACTCTTGTTTGTGCTACTTTTTTCATACCAACGTATTCTTCATAAAAACATTTTGTATCATACTTTTGTAACCCTCTCTAGTTAAAGAGAGCATGTCGTTACATATAGGTAAAATTAATCTTAGAAATATTTTAACAAAGTTAGTATACTGTATTATTACCATTTCTTTAGTTTTCAACATCGGAACGATCAAACAATCAGCTAATGAATACCGTGATTTTTTTTTAGTTCCAATTCCTGTAGCACGAAATATTAACGTCAACATTGTGCAGCAATACAGTGCGCAATAATACTATTATAATGCATGCTGCAATATTGCTGTAATATTAGAATTTTAATGATTTATTGGAAATATTACAACAATATTGTAAAATATTGCAATCTTTCAAAGTAATATTATTGTAATGATGCTGTAATGTTTCGGGCTGCATGCTGAATGTCTTGATACATTGCAGTTTCCAGAGATCAGTACTGTCTTATCTGCATAACACATAGATTAGTAGTATCGGAAATCAGAAACAACAGAAATTAAACAAATTTTAATATCTAGAATGAAGCAGAGGGAAAGAACTTGCAAAAAACTCGAATCGTAGTAGACATGAGTACCGTGAGGAATGATGAGCGCGTTTAAATATCCCTCTCGAATAATGAGTAATACGCGCGAGCCAATCAATGTGCAGATTAGAGATTGACAAGAACAGTTCCAGAAACATGCTCTCTATTGGCTCAAATCGACAAATCCCAATGCGCATGTCAAACATGTGTTCTTCCGTTTCGCGCCTAAAATTGTTGGCATATGAAGAGATTAACATTATAGAATACAGATTACAGAGTACAGTGAATTATTCGTAAAACACATCAGTCTGTCAGTTTTCAGCTAATATGGATTTGGGTACGACATTTCGGAAGCTTTCTGTGGAAAATGATAATCGTTCTCCCTTGAAGATGCCAATCAAAGAATCCCCGCGAGGAAAGATGCACGTTATTAAACGTAGTAAGTTATGGGTTAACCATTCCTTCGAATTCGATTGTGGATATGCATCCGTTTTCCACAAATGAGTTATTTTTTTGTATAATATTAATATATTATTATGACACCAAGAAACTTCA